CAAACAAAAAACAAACAGGAAAAAAATGACAAGAGAAACAACAACAACCTCAAAATATAAAGGTGGGAGAGGGTATGATATAATAAAATAAGAATAGGTGGTGGTGGTGGTGTATGGTGGTGTTTTTTTGGTGGGAGGATAGAAGAGAGATGAAAAGCGAGTGATCTAATATGGGAATACCATTGCTTAAGTAACCATCTTGAGAGAATTGGATCGTAGATGGGCGTACATTGTGTAGTATCCATTAAAAAATACAAGTCATCCTTAGCTCAGAAACTGTACATTTTATTACAGCGATCACTGCGGCGTGATTCTCCTTTTGGTTCATTACACGCTCGGCAAAAGAGGATATCCTACAGAGATGCATGAAGTAAACATAGATAGATAGCTGGCTCCTCTGGCTAAGACTGGAATAATATCAAACGTCACGGTTGTAACCCATCCAGTTGTATTTGCTTTCCTTTAAAAATCCGACTGCCAAACAGATAACGATTTATGTCTACCTAGAGTAAACAATGCAATTCAATGGGACCTATTTATTATGACTATGAGAAATCATGATATCACAATTGACATAGCTGCCGAGCTGGTCTGCCGTAGATAACTGCATCTCCTCACGACGCTTAACGGCAACAGAGGAAGAAAAAGTAAAAGTAATACTATAAAAAGACTGCTTAATTAAATTCTCTCAAGGAAGTGCAAACGAGTTTTTCTTTAACCGGATCTTTAACCGGTTCCTCATGAAACAGGTACGTGGCCAGCTCTTATCCACACCTCGCGTTTATCCCCCTCGCCTGTTGATGCCACCGCCACCAAACAAGGCCAGGACGTAACGCGCAGTTCGATCGTCCACCCACCAAGACAGCCCAGCCCGACACTGCGACTGCGAGCAGATGACGAGGAGGGGGAGTGATAGAGTCGCCTCCCTTGAAAAAAGGCCAACGCCCAACTCGCTTCTCGATAAGGTCTTCAATATCAGCAGCAGCAGGCTGTTGGAGTAGGGCTGACTGACAGCGCATTATCATTCTTTTTGAAATCGTCGCTCCTTTCAGAATAATTCCCCCCCTCTCGTAAAGCCACAGGATTTGAAACGAAGGTGTATCAAAGGTACACAGTGCGCCCTCGCGTTTGAGAATTATTCCTGTGGAGGTTTTTTTCCCCGTGTTCATTTCGGTTTTCTCTTCTGTTCTGATGTGCGCCATGTGACGAGGGAAGGCGAGCTGCTCTCAGGATCTGTGGTTCTTCCTCGGACTCCGGATCACACCGCCGGTTCGTACCCAGGGTAAGAACATTGACTTATTGACCTGTTTGTCTTCCAGCGTGTTTTACATCCTTGTCTTTCGACACGATCCCCCTTCTTGTACGGTTCATTAGGCTGTAGGTGTCTTTATATGGAGTCGAAACGATAAAGTTACGATATCCTCAAAAAGAAGTGTTTGGGGGTTAGACAATTTCAGAAAAAAAAACATTTGCTGAGAAACATTCAATAATTCAATTAGATTCTAATAATAGCATTTACATACCACATATTATCCATCCTCTTCAGCATGCTCTGTGCGTTTTACGACAAATATTACCCCAGCAGACCCTAGAGCACCCAGTCAGAAACATTCTCGGCTTCCCGGAAAGTGTACACTGAAATCAGCTGATTAAGCGCTCAAACATTAACACACTGGCAAGATCTTTCTCCGTCTATACCCGGGTACTCATTCCCATCAAAACAGATGCGAAACATCAGCTGTGTACATATTTTGTTTTTTAAAGGTCTCGAAGTGTGGTGTGAAATGACAAAAGATGTACACAAGAAGTGTTTTGTATGTATGGACTCAAATAACCTATATGTGTATGTTTATGTTTGATTGGGTTGTGTTTGTCTATTTGTGCGCTTATGTGTGTGTGCGTGTGTGTGTGTGCGTGTGTGAGCGAGTGTGTGTGTGTGTGTGTGTGTGTGTGTGTGTGTGTGTGTGTGTGTGTGTGTGTTTGACCTTTATTGTCTTTTCACTTCCTCATCTTTATCTTTGGCTTGAGAAGTCTCCTCAGGAAGAGATTTATTCCTGTCATAAATATCCAGCTGAGATATCTCATACACCCTTATCCAGTCCTGCCCTGATTCTGACTGCCTAACAGTCCATCTTTCTGTGGATATTTATATTTAAAGGTCTGTATGTCTCTCTGTCTGTCTTTTTCTCTCTGTATGTTTGTATGTTATTCTCTCTGTTTCTCTCTCTCTCTCTCTCTCTCTCTCTCTC